TTTGGTTAGACAGATTGATGCGGTCTCACTCTAACATTAGATACATTTTTCTATTTTGATTTTGTTATTGGATTAGGATTTTTATTATGGTATGTATAGTGATAGTTGTTGGATTGTTAGAGTACCTTGTAAAATAGTCTACCAACATGTAATTTGTCGATTGTAAGTCTTTTTGTTTTAAGGTACATAAATACTAACTCGTCTTGGTTTCAATTCTTGTTTAGATATCTTCAAAAGAACTATAGATAATTTTTATTGTGTAATTGGACTTACAATCACCAATCTGTAACTCCTTTATGTTCCCATTTTGATCCCACTTGTATAGGTGTTACTCTAAGATGCTAATTGAAGCTTGGAACTTGTGATTCACCTTATTAGGGATATAGATGATATTTACATCCCAACCTACTTAACCCGACTTATTCAGACCTAATTTGATACACCTTTTTTTTTTCCGTTAAAGTGTGAACTCAAGTCCTATAAGCTTCAAGTTAGTAGGAAAGGATAGGCAGATGGGGGCAATTTTGGATTTTACCTTCTAAAATTTGTTGGAACACGACTCCCCATGTATATATATTTTAATTTTTTATTATTATAGATATATTTAAATTTATAATAAAGTATTACTGACACTTTAGCAATGATTTTTATTTGTCACTAAGGCCGTTATATATACTTTATAGTTCGATGATAAAATTTATAAGACCATGGAAACTACATAATTTTCTTAAGTAATCAGATTTTATAGCCAATTAAAATTAAACATATGATAAAATAATTTTATTCAGACAAAAGAATTAAAAATAGCTTTTGTGCTTCATCAAGAGACATCTTCACTGGAAGTTTCTTGTGGTTCCTATCCATACAAAGAGAAAGTAATGCGCAGATTTTCTGGCCTCCTTGGCGCACAACAACTTGCGAAGGTAATTGCTTTTTGCTGATGCCTTTTGCTTTTTTATTTCCGCGCCTCTTCGATCCACCACAAAAATGTCATGATCAATGTTGGTATTTTGGTACAAATGCATTAATGAGAGAGACAGAGAAAGATAGCAAAAAAGAATCTTAAAATTAAAAGAAAAAATTATTTATTTATCCACGGGATCTCCAAGAGTAGTCTAAGATCGATATGTACATGAAGTTGAGATGCTCTCATCATTGAGCAAAAAAAAAATGGATAAAGAAAGAGATAACCTAACTAATTAATTAGCACGGTGGGTGCGTCATGCATGCTCCCAGGTCTCAAGAAAAAAAAGGAGAAAAACATACATATATATATATATATAATATCCTAGTTTAATACAGAAAAAATTTATTGATCAAAATCTTTGGTGTTGAAAATTCTCTGTCCCGGTGATAATATCATTTTAGGATCATATCGAACTTTCCTCTCACGAAATGCGTTCCATTTTGATCCAAAATGTTTGATCCAGTCTTGTTCATTACGAAAATGTGGAAGATACTGTTTAATCTCAATACCAGCTTCCTCACAAAACCTAATTATCTTCATGTTTTGACAATCATACGCTTTCCACCCATCGAATTCACTTGAATCCAAAAATCCTACTGTATAAAACACTTCTTCGTCGGGTATAACTGCAGAAGTTCTGGAATCCCACCTGCATCATTAATTTAATATTTCAGTATGTACTTTTCTCAGTCTAGTTATTAAAGTTGGATATATATATGTATGATATTATTTGTAAAGGGAAAATCTGATGATGATGATATATATACAAGGACATTGCACTTACTTTTTTACGTTCATGGGGTACACAAGGACAGGTCCTGTAGTGATGTTTCCATTTAGAACAATGTCCTTGAAAACTCCATTATTGAAATCCAAGATTCGAGATCTTGGGACAAAGAGGTTTAGCCATGGATGAGGAACTTCCCACTGTCCTTGTTCCTTGAGTTTCAGCTCCCCACTTCGGACTCTGTTCAAAAAATCAACATACGACACATCTTTTTGGAACACAAATCCCGGAATGAAGCTCAAGTCTTTGGCCATTAGTTGCAGCTCCTGCAAAAAAAATATATATATACTTTATTAACATATATTATCACCAAATACTGATTTCAACAAGAAACATCATCACAATGATAGCTTTCACTGTATATATATATATATATATATATATATACATATATATATGACGTACTTTGTCTACAGAATACTGGGTGTTATCATCGTAATATTTGACCAATTCAAGGCAGTAGATGATGCCATGGTTTTTCACAAGGGAAATTATTCTCGAGTGTTCGCTGGGAGGAAAAAATGAAGACCTCCAATTATCTGGAGAACCATGGTTGAGCAGAAGTGAGCCTTCCAAGTAATCAAGTGCCTTGCCTTCACTTGCGTTGATTGAGATCAAACTTTCTTGATCTCTGGTAAAAATAGAGAAATCACTGTAAAGCATCCGTACCCACTTGGCCTGCACATATACAGCAAGAAATTTGTAAATTCTTTTTAATATTAGTAAATTAGTATATTATTGTTTGGTTATGTGGGTTACTACATACCCTTTTTGGGGCTGGTTGGAGAGCAATTCTTGCCCTAGTAATAATCCCAAATTGACCCAAACCTCCAAGAACAGCATGAAACAAGTCAGAATTTTTGTTGGCAGAGCAGGTCAGGAGCTCTCCTTTTCCTGCGTATATACCCAAAAGAAGGTTAACCCTAGCTAACTCACTGCATGCATGCAACTTGCTTTAATTATTAATTACAAAATTCACATCTGCTTCCAAAGCCCACCAATATGTACACTTGTAATAAGGTTTCGTAATAATCAAATGGGAATTTTGTAAGAAGGTGAAGTGGGTATGGATTATGGTCCAGCTCAAGCATATATATATATGTATATTATAATAATATTGCATATGATTAATTATGTGAGTGTGCGCATACATATGATTTTTGGGAGTGAAATTTTGTCCTATGAACCAGTGGGACCCTGGAGCCAAGAACATGTTCCCAACATTAATCAATATGCTGAAAGTGACAAAAAATTTGTGTACCACAACCACCAACTTATGATACCTTCATTAATCTACAGGGAAAAACAAAAACCAAAAAGAAAATAAATGTCAATTTCTGAAAGTAAAAGAAGGAAAATCATACCAGTGACAACATCTATTTCATGAACATTACTGATTTGAGGTCCATAGCGAAAGGACTGTCCACTGATTCCAGCATTCGCCAATGTCCCACCAACACTTAAATACAAATAATCAGTCCAAGAAACTGGTGCAACTCCTTCAACTAATGTCGCATTTAACACGTCTATCCAAAGTTGTTCTCCACCAACATCAGCATAAAACGACCCCGTTTCACATGCCTAAACACCTTCACTCGCTCTTTTCTTTTCTACATTCTTTCAACGATATCATGTTGACTACCACCCCATTAGACGGGGTCATCGCCTGGCCCCAGACAGAATGTCCATGCCCTCTCGCGGCTATACCGAATGGAATTGACAGGTTGTAAGCAAGTTTTATCAGAGCTTTGATGTCGTCGACAGATGATGGATAAAGAACAGCAGCAGGGGCTTGTTTAGATATGTTGCCGAAATCTTTAGAGGCCCACTCAATGGCTTCTGGGTCTATGCGAAGCCTGTCTGAGATGTGGTGGGTTTGGAGTTGAGGATGAAGGAGAATATTATTCAATGGCTTTGATTCACCAATCATTGAAATTAAATGGCTGACGATGAATATAAGGATGAGATATGTCGAAACGGGAAAATTTATCTCAGCCATATCTCTTTCTTTTTTTTTTCCTCTTCTCTCCAGCAAGAGAGACAACTAGGAAGAGAGTAAGAATTAAACGTTCCCCTTCCTTGCTTGTGGTGAAGGAGAAGAGTTGTTCTGCGGTTTATATAGAAAGAAAGAGGGAGAGAGAGAGAAAGAGAGAGAGAGATGGAATGGTGGAGTTGCATGAAAATTTATGATGTGGAAACTGGGAAGGAAGTATCGGTGTTGGGTAAAAGAAACGGCGTCCTGGGCTGCTACCACCCTTGTATTTTTTGTCAAAGATATGGAAGGACGATACCTGGATTCATTTACATGACTTTACTCGTGACATTTAACTTTTAAAACTGATTGTATGAAACGTGCCTAGTGTGAATATTGTGTGCTTATACATCATTACGATGAATCCACATATTTCATTCTTTGTGGGCCACCGGCTAGAGTGTCCCACATATGTGTGTGTATATATATATATGTATATACAAGATGAATGACAAGCGTTGGATCTCAATCACCTTGGTCAAGACAAGTCAAGATTTGTCAACTGGGTATAGATACACCACACTTTCTCCTTGTTCACACACAGAGACATATATGCATAAATATAGACATATAATATGGGATTATGATTTATAATTTGTTCATGTCCTGATTTCAGAAGTTTTTGTGGGTCAAAGATTAGGTAATGACCAAAAGGAATATCTTTGAGATTTTGTTTTTGGAAGAGGATTATTGGGTGATTTTTATGAATCAAGCAATTAGTTTCCATTTAAAATGGGAGATTCATTGAAGAAAGTTTTAGGAGACATCACCCAGATTTTTCTTTGTTCCAAGATTTGGTTTATGCGTATCTAAGGCTACATTTTATGAGTTGATTAAGTCGACAAGTTTAAATTAGCTAAGACAAACCCATGTTGTAAATTAAATAATTAATTCATTTGGCTTTTAATTATATCCCTAATTCTCCAGTACTTCTACTAATTTCAGTTCTTTTAAAATTAAAATGAATCATACTCATGATAAAAAGTGTCTGATTCTCTGAATGCTTTCTTGATATTTAAATTTTTCTTTTTTTTTTTTTTTAAATAAAAAAAAGTTTTCCCCGAATGTTTAATAGGGTCCGTGATACTTGTGAAAAGTACCATTTGATTATATATTCTTACTCGAGAAGGTATGCTACTTTTGAAGATAGCTAGCACCCAATAACTTTGTTTGTTGGATTGTATTCAGATATCAATTTCTATTATACGAAGAAAAAAAAAAAAGAAATTACCACAAGTGTATATATACATATGTCTTTAACAGCATCCCCTAATTGAAGTCACTTTTTCTAATACATGTTAGTAATTAGGTTGAAATATGTCAAAATTTTAATTCTATAAAAAATTAATGAGAATACAATATAAACAAAATATTATTTTAAATAAAATTTTTAATTTCAAGTTAATTTTACATATAATTAAATTTAATTATTTTGTAAGTTCTTATTTGACATGTGAAATTGAAAGAATGATTAACAAAGTATATTTAATTATGCATCAAATATATAAATTACATATGAGTAACTCTTAGATATTGAATAATGAAAATTTAAGAATTAAATAAAAATAGCATAAATTTGAACCAAAGACAATATCATTACTATTTACACTTAGTATTTAAGTATATGTAGTAAACAAATACGTTTAGAGTCCTTACAAATTTTTAAGAGTTGTCAAAGAAGATATGAGAATGAATTATAGTATATATATTATATAATATTAGGATATAAATATTTAATTAACTTAACACTTATTAATATATAGAAATAAAGCAAGTTGGACGCGTTATGTATGTGTGTATATATATATATATACATATCTATAGCTAGAAAACAATAACATGCCATGCGCAGAGGAGATTATATAATGTGATCATGGCATATAATCATGCATGTTCAATCACAAGAATTTGTCTTTGCCTGGACAAAAAAAAGCATGCTAATTGCAACATCTACATGTATGTAAGGAACCATTAGATATATATATATATATACATGTATATTACATATCGAAGAATATAGATGTGAATGATAGTAATGCACCCTCATGGGATTTTCCACTTTTGTTGAATTTTCAATCTCCTTTCAAAGAGAATATCCAAACTATATACGTTGAGGTCCTAGATACTTTTGGCTGGAAAAATAGGACTATTGTACTTAAGGGTCTAAGTAGTAGTAGTAGTATTTAATAAATTTGCTTCCTAACTCTTTCAAAATATAATCTTTGACCTAAAGATCTTTAAGAATGATCTGTTACCAGCACCTATCATAAAGCAGATTCTTCATCATCCCATGCATTATCATACATACCATGCAAACATTTTTTTATATTTATATATACATTCTGTACCATATATGAGATTATGAAATAATATTATCTTTAATTAACATACATGTGCAACATGCATTCCTATAGAATAATACTAATACCTATTAACGTTCTAAACTAGCTAATTTATATATATTATTGGTTGCCAATAAATAGGAGCGTATATGTCCGTGTGTGTGTGTATATATATATATAATATTAGTCTACAAAGCTATAATCAAGTTACGGATAAAATCAACTCATAAATATCATTAAGAAACAGATATTACGTACCCAATATATATTTTGATTTGTATTTATGCACGATAAGAACAAGAAACTTCATGAAAACAACTAAGCATGCTTCCGCACATGCCAAAACAGTGATAGTTAGGTCTTTGACCTAACATAAGAGATATATATAATATATCAGACATATATATATATATATATATATAATATATCCAAGAGATGAGAAAGAGGACTTGCTTGTGCCTTGTTATTAATTAAGTAATATATAGAGACATAGACAAAAGAAAATTATATATGACATCCTGCTAGCCAGGAATTGAGTTGTTCCCTTCGTAATAATCCAAACATCTGAGAGAATCAGACAAAGAATAGAACATGCTTTCATGCTTATTAATTTTATTTTATTAAAACAACTGATTGATCAGAACTATAAT